ATGGGTATTTCTTTCTTTTTTTAATTTTAGCTCCCACCTATAAGGGAAACCTACTATTTCTAGTATTTTTTAAAGAAATCTCCATACTATTTTCCATAGTGGCTGCACAAATTTACATTCCCAACAACACTGTATAAGATTTTCCCTTTCTCCAAATCCTCACCAGGATTTGCTGGTGTCTATATTTGAATAACGGCCATTCAGACAGGGTATTAGGTCATAGGTTTTGATTTGGATTTCCCTGATAGCTAGTGATTTTGAGCATTTTTTCATGTTTTTGTTGGTCATTTGTATTTTCCTTTTGAGAACTGTCTATTCATGCCCTTTTCCCATTTGTTAACTGGATTGGTTGTTTTTTGTTTCTGAGTTTTTTGAGTTGCTGATATATTCTGGATATTAATGCTTTGCCAGATAAATAGCATGCAAATATTTTCTCCCATTCTGTCAGATGTCTCTTTACTCTATTGATTGTTTTGTTTACTATGCAGAAGCTTCTTAGTTTGATATAATCCCAACTACTTAGTTTTTCTTTCATTGCATGTGCTTAGGGGGGGTTTATCCAAGAAGTCCTAACCCACACCAGTGTCTTCAGGTGTTTCCCCTACATTTTCTTGTAGAAATTTCATAGACTTGGTTCTTAAAATAAGGTAGTTTGAGCCATCTTGAGTTGATTTGGATAAACTTCTTCTTAACCTCTCTTTTCAACCATTAGGGAACATTTTGCTTAGGTTATCACTTGAAACAATTCTATCTCCAAGAGTTGGTTTCTCTAGAAGTAGATTCTGAGAAAAATTTAACAAATTAAGAAATTACTTTGTGATGATCCCAGGAAACACTGATTGGAGTGGGCAAATGCATTGTTAAGGAAGGAAGCCAATAAAAAGAGCAGGTGTTGAGTAGTTACCACTGTGGACAGTTAAGGCTGCATCACACTGGTGATCAGTGTAGAAAATGTTTCATAGTTATTCCCTGAGATAGGGAAACTGATGTATTTCTGTACCACTTCTCTCCAGCTTTTTCTGGGAGATCATCTATAGGGTATTAAATGTCCAGACATGCAGAGTATAGAGTGGTGAGTGCTTAGGGCACCAGCTTTAATGCTGATCTCTACTTTCTTGGCCTTGGATTTCTTTCATTCTAGTCCCTCTCTTACACTGAGCCTACTTTTGGTCTATATTGCAAACCTCGTGTTAATCCATGTAACCACAAATATCTTAATACTCAGATGTTACCTTTGCAATGTCTAATGCATGCATACACTCCTATTACCTCTTCCCTTTTCAGTTCAAACCTCATATCTTTCCCTGTGCTAGAATAACAGCTTCCTAATTAGTCTCCCTGCTCCCATTCTCTTCACACTCCACTTCATCTTACATACTGTTGCCAGAGTAATGTCAATGCAGAGATCACTTACACTCCCGTTATAAAGAGTATGAGATTACTGCTCAGCCTAGCATTTCAGGTTACTTAAAATATAGGCTTCATTTTCCCACTGTTTCCTGAAAAGTTATATACATTCCCTGTCACTTTCTGTCCCCTTAAATTGTCTTATATTTTATCATTTTCATGTATTTGTCACCAATTTGAAACAGTCCCAACACACCCCTCACATCATTTGACTTTTGAAACTGTTATAGCACTAAAAACTTTCCTCAAACAGCAACTTATCCATGAAGGTGTCCTGAGCTCTCCCTCCTCTGTCCCTTATAGTATTCTGTGTTTCTCCCACAACTCCATATTTATTGTCATATTTTTCCAGTTGTAACTGTCATTCCTTTTCTTTGTTATAAGTTCCATGAGGAAGAAAGAGACAATAATACAGTGGTTTGCATGTCAAAAATTATTGATTTGAAATATATATAATATATGCATATTGTATCTAAGGCCTTTATTGCCATAGGGCATATTTGCAAATGAAGATTCATCATCTGGTTAATTTTAAGCATGCTATATTGAAATATTTGTATGTTTGTAAGTGGGGTTTTCTCACTTGTCTAATTTAGGTGACAGACACTTGCACTCTGAGTATTATTGTAAAGAACTAGGAAGGGTTTATAACAACATTAAACCTGCTACAGATTACAAGTGCTGTATCACATGTGTAATAAAAGAGTTAAGCTCTAGAGAAGTGGGGGATAATTTGACTCTTTTGATATGAATGGCAGAAGTTAAAATACCAAACATCTAAAACACAGTCTTTCAGTCTGATTCACAAGGACTACAAGTTTCAGTCCTCTACCATAATCATATGCCTAACAAACAGCATCCTTTGCCTCAAAGGCTGGGGCAGGGGTGACCATGGCATTTGAGTGATGTCTGCCTCATACTCTTTTATGACCACCTTGTGTATGACCATTTATTAGAGTCATCTCTTCTCTATTCCCGATTTGGTTGTTCTATCTCTCATGACTGCTTTTTGCTGACTGGTGCTCTATGTCCCACTGGCCCTTTGCCACTGAGGTTCTTAGCACTGATATACTGTCTCACCTCCATAAGAGCATTACATCAAGAAGTTAAAGAAAATGTGGCTTATATACATGATGAAATACTACTCGGACATAAAAAAAATGAAATTCTGTCTTTTGTAACAAAATGGATGCAACCGGGAATCATTATGCTTAGTGAAATAAACCAGCCTCAAAAAGACAAATATCATATGTTTTGTCTGATATTTTGCAGTTTATGCCAAAAAAATGTATAGGAATGAGATGGCCATTTTGGGATATGATTGTCATTTTTAGTCCTTGTTTATACTCTGTGGAACTGTGGTCTTCCTACTTTTTACTTGTTGATATTATGATTAGTGGCAAATTAAGCATGTGGATGTAGAGTATATTAGAAGTAAGTCTGCAATAACTGATGAAGAGAGGGGAGGGGGATTAGGGAGAGCAAGGAAGTGTGGTTGTCTTCTAAGGACTATACCTATGGAATGCATGAAATTTATTCTATTTATTCTTTTTATGCTAACAATTCTTTTTTAAAAAGCAGGTGTGTTTTCTCATAAGAAGCAAGCATCCCTATGTGGAATTTTCTTTTTTCTTTTTCTTTGGTGGTGGTGGAGCAGTTCTTAATGTGTAGTACATGAGAGTCACTTTGGTGTGTGTGTGGATACATGCTAACAATTCTGATTTCAAGGTTCTACTATGACTAGAAAATTAAAATCTATGATGATAAAACCCAAGGAAATATTGTTGGTACAACAGTCCTGGTGATTTCTATGTATATCAAACCTAGAAAACCATAGCTTCAAAAGTGATTTACTTTTGGACTGGCTCCAATGTATACCTGTTTCTCACTTGACTGGTTGACTTTCTGCATATGACTGTAAGCAAGATCTGTGAAAGTGTGTTGCCATTTTAAGAGAATCACAAGAACATTTTGATCTCCCACATTGTTGTAGAGTTTCAGAGTAGAAACAAAATAATTAATGGTTTCAATAATTTAGTGTTATTGTTGAGGTAGCTAGGAGAAAAATGTTAGAAACTAGTCTTCAATACAAATGGTCCAGCTTTTCAACATTCCATGTCATGTATTTACTGGCTTTTGAAGAGCTCCCCTCTAGTGGCTGATGCTCAGAAACCACACTGTTGCCACTGAGGAGCTGGAGGTCCTGGCTGCCTTCTACCTCCTGCAGATCCCTTGTCCTGGCTTCTTCACAGATGCTAATAGCTTCCCCATCTCTGATACTTCTGCTGTCGCACTACAGGGACAGTCACTATGGAAGAGCCTGATTCTTATGAATTTAGCCCATTAACAAAGGAACACCTGTCGCTTAGACACTTCTAATGGCTCCAAATTTCTGTTGCTCTCCAATCCCTCTCTCATTGCAGACTTTCCTACTTAATTCCTCTTCATTACTATCTCACATTAGAGACGACCTGGACATGAAATTGTTGTGGAGTAGGAAGGTGAGTTAGGGTAAGTGGGTTTGGTTTCAGAACTTGGTTGAGAAAAATTCATCCTCTGCACCTTCAACTTAAACTTAGAACATATATTTCTAGAAAAATAAACAATACTTTGCCCTTTCTGCCTCAAGTTGCATACCAGTTCCTTAAAATTTTCTGGTTGTGTCTCAATCGGTGTTAGACACACGTGTGCTTGTGTTATACCTCTTTCCAAAAGTCATACAGAACTTCACAGGATAAAAGCCTCTGGGTTCTCTTCTTAGTCCCTGCCAACTTCTTTGCAGAACTTCCCTTTGCTTTCCTTCAGGCACATCAGTATCTGGACAGACAAAACCATTTGGGTTCTTGTCTGAGAATCTCCAATCCCTTTTTTTCTTCCTACTTAGAGAGCTCCAACACTTCACTTACGCCTCAGCCTAGAAATCACTGCCATTGTGAATTCTTTATTTTTCTTGCTTCCATCCCTCCTTCCTTCCCTTCCTCTCTCCCTCCCTCCAGCTTGCTTTTCTCCCAACTCATATCTCTTCTCCCACTTTATTTCTCTCTTTCTTCACTGTGTTGGTATGATTTTATCTTATTTTGTTCTCATAGGAATTTTGGGAGACTATGTTTCCGTTTTATAAGTGAGTTATTTTCTCAAGATCAAATTGTCAGTAAATGGTCACTCTGGAAATTCTCTCAGGTTTTGTGATTTATAGCCAGAGATTTCACTATCAGATTTAAGAAGGAATCCTGAATGCTAGTTACGATTCTTATTAATAATCTGTATATACTAATAAGCTACATACACGGCCAGTGCCGCAGCTCACTAGGCTAATCCTCTGCCTTGGGGCGCCGGCACACCGGGTTCTAGTCCCAGTCGGGGTGCCGGATTCTGTCCCGGTTGCCCCTCTTCCAGGCCAGCTCTCTGCTGTGGCCCGGGAGTGCAGTGGAGGATGGCCTAAGTACTTGAGCCCTGCACCCCATGGGAGACCAGGATAAGTACCTGGCTCCTGCCTTCAGATCAGCGCGGTGCGCCTGCCGCAGCGCGTCGGCCGTGGCGGCCATTGGAGGGTGAATCAATGGCAAACGAAGACCTTTCTCTCTGTCTCTCTCTCATCACCAAAGAAGAGACCAGAGCCTGTGCAAATTCAGAAAGGAAACAACAATGGAAGAACCACTGATTTAAAACAGCAAAGTGCTCGGGAGTCATGGGTAAGCCCTAGGAAAAGAGGACTGTCTTCTTCAGAAAAGGATAACTTAGAAAGGCAGGCTGTAGAAAATTGTGAGAGAAAGCAAACAGAACCTGTTTCACCAGTTTTAAAAAGAATTAAGCATTGTCTTAGATCTGAAGCACCAAACAGTTCAGAGGAAGATTCACCTATAAAATCAGACAAGGAGTCAGTAGAACAGAGGAGTACAGTAGTGGACAATGATGCAGATTTTCAAGGGACGAAACGAGCTTCTCTATGTCTTATACTGGATGATTGTGAGAAAAGGGAAATTAAAAAGGTGAATCTCAGTGAGCAAGGGCCGCTTAATTCTGCAATAGTTGAAGAAATCACAGGCTATTTGACTGTCAATGGTGTTGATGACAGTGATTCAGCTGTTATAAACTGTGATGACTGTCAGCCTGATGGGAACACTAAGCAAAATAGCACTGGTTCCTATGTGTTGCAGGAAAAATCAGTAACTGAAAATGGGGATTCCGAAACCCAAACTTCAATGTTCCTTGGTAGTAGGAAGGAGGACAGTTACGTAGACCATAACGTGCCTTGCACAAATTCAGAAGTGCAGGTCAAGTTGGAGGACCACAAAATAGTAACTGCCTGCCTGCCTGTGGAACATGTTAATCAGCTGACTACTGAGCCAGCTACAGGCCCTGTTTCTGAAATTCAGTCATCTTTAAGGGATTCTGAGGAAGAAGTAGATGTGGTGGGAGATAGCAATGCCTCAAAAGAGCAGTGTAACGAAAACACCAATAACGTCTTGGACACAGCTCTTGAAAGTACACCAGTCTCTGGAGAATCAGAACCATCTTCTGTTCTAGACTGTGTTTCAGCTCAAATGATGTCTTTATCAGAACCTCAAGAACATCGCTATACCTTGAGAACTTCACCACGAAGGGCGGTACCCAGAGGTAGTCCCACTAAAAACAGTTCTCCTTGCAGAGAAAATGGACAATTTGAGGAGAATAATCTTAGTCCCACTGAAACAAATCCAACTGTTAGTGATAATGAAGTGAGTCTCTCACAAATCCTGATGAAATTTCTGAAAATGAAAAAGATAAATGTTGTGACTCTCAAAATTACGGAAGTGATGGACTAAGTAAGCCATCCTCAGAAGCAAGACTCAATATTGGACATTTGCCATCTGCCAAAGAGAGTGCCAATCAGCACATTACAGAAGAGGAAGATGATGATCCTGATGTTTATTACTTTGAATCAGATCATGTGGCTCTGAAACACAACAAAGATTATCAGAGACTGTTACAGACGATTGCTGTACTCGAGGCTCAGCGTTCTCAAGCAGTCCAAGACCTTGAAAGTTTAGGCAAACACCAGAGAGAAGCTCTAAAAAATCCCATTGGATTTGTGGAAAAACTCCAGAAGAAGGCTGATATAGGGCTTCCATATCCACAGAGAGTTGTTCAGTTGCCTGAAATTGTATGGGATCAATATACCAATAGCCTTGGAAACTTTGAAAGGGAATTTAAAAATCGTAAAAGACATACTAGGAGAGTTAAACTAGTTTTTGATAAAGTAGGTTTACCCGCTAGACCAAAAAGTCCTTTAGATCCTAAGAAGGATGGAGAGTCTCTTTCATACTCTGTGTTGCCTTTGAGTGATGGTCCGGAAGGCTCACACAGTCGTCCTCAGATGATAAGAGGCTGCCTTTGTGATGATACCAAACCAGAAACATTTAACCAACTGTGGACTGTTGAAGAACAGAAAAAACTTGAACAGCTACTCCTGAAATACCCTCCTGAAGAAGTAGAATCTCGACGCTGGCAGAAGATAGCAGATGAACTGGGCAATAGGACGGCAAAACAGGTTGCGAGCTGAGTACAGAAGTATTTCATAAAGTTAACTAAAGCTGGCATTCCAGTCCCAGGCAGAACACCTAACTTATATATATACTCCAAAAAGTCTTCGTCAAGCAGAAGGCAGCACCCCCTTAATAAGCATCTCTTCAAACCTTCCATGTTCATGACTTCTCATGAACCACCAGTGTATATGGATGAAGATGATGACCGATCCTGTTTTCACAGCCATATGAACACTGCTATTGAAGAGGCATCCGATGAAGAAAGTATTCCTATTATGTATAGGAATTTACCTGAATATAAAGAACTACTACAGTTTAAAAAGTTAAAGAAGCAGAAACTTCAGCAAATGCAGGCTGAAAGTGGATTTGTGCAGCATGTTGGCTTCAAGTGTGATAACTGTGGCATAGAACCTATCCAGGGTGTTCGGTGGCACTGCCAGGGTTGTCCTCCAGAAATGTCTTTGGATTTCTGTGATTCTTGTTCTGACTGCCTACATGAAACAGAAATCCACAAGGAAGATCAGCAATTAGAACCTATTTATAGGTCAGAGACATTCTTAGACAGAGACTACTGTGTGTCCCAGGGCACCAGTTATAATTACCTGGACCCCAACTACTTTCCAGCAAACAGATGACATGGAAGAGAACATCATTTCCTAGTCCTCTTCGACACATAGCAATGGTATCATTGTTAAGTATGTGCACAGTTTGGAAAGATTCGCTCCTTTCCCTGAAATGACACTCACAGCATGAGAGCTTCCTGAGTGTTCTCGTCAAGTACAGCTCTGCATGGTTGTGGCTCTAGATCACTGCCCAGCAGCTGAACATTCCTGGTGAGCAAAGGGTTTCCCTGGTGAATTTCTCACCACCACCTTGAAAGCCTTTAGGTGGTGATCTCAAATGGGCGAGATGGAAATGAGAGCACACATTAAAGTGAGATTAAATTCCAAAGGTTTCAGAGAACTTGATCACAAGTATGATAAGGAGAAGACAAAAAGTATTTATATTAAAGCAGTTTAGTAGCTTTCAGTTTTGTGAAAATAGTTTTCAGCACAGAAACTGACTTCTTTAGACAAAGTTTTAACCAATGACGGTGTTTGCTTCTAGGATATCCACTTTAAAAGAACTCACTGTCCCAGTGGTGGTCGTTGATGGCCTTTAGTAAATTGGAGCTGCTTAACCATATTGATATCTAATTTCTTTTAACCACAATGAACTGTCCTTCTTACCAACAGCGAAGCACTACAGGAAGCAACTGTGGCACTGCTTCCTTAACCAGCTCGTGGTGTGTGAATGTTACAAAGTCGTCACTCAGATATATTTTTTAAATGTAATGTTAAATAAGATGATCATGTGATGTGTACAGACTATGGTGAAAGTGCCAGTGGTAGTGACTGTGTAAAGTCTAATTCACAACATTGATTCCTTTAAAATACACAGCCTTCTGCCTCTGTATTTGGAGTTGTCAGTACAACTCATCAAAGAAACTGCCTAATATAAAATCATATATATGGTAATAATTTCCCTCTTTTGTAGTCTGCACAAGATCCATAAAAGATTGTATTTTTATTACTATTTAAACAAGTGATTAAATTTAGTCTGCGCAGTGAGCAAGAGTTCACCTGCATTCTTTTATACTGCTGGATTTTGTTGTGTATCATTTAAAACATTTTGTGTGTTTCTTCTTATCTGTATACAGTATGTTCTTGAATAATGTTCATTTGTCAGGAGAACTGTGAGAAATAAACTATGTGGATACTGTCTGTTTATATTATAAAAAAATAAAAAAATAAGCTACATTCACTTATTTCTTTCCTCAATTTGTTTTTGTGTTTCCTTAATTGTAAGATTTCTATTGTTTTTAGTACTTCATGGTGCAGAGACAGTCATTATATCTGCCGCTCAATCCATTTTTTCTCATTTGAAATTTTTATTCCAAATAAACACAGTTACTTACTGTATTTCTACATTTCAAAGATGCCTTGAATATACATCATTATATCATTAATTTCCTATTTCAGCAGATTTTGTCAAGAAATTAGTGAAAAACATTAAACAAGAAGATGAAGATGTACGTGGTTTTGATGTGTGGTAGCTAAAATTTGCAGGCAGTTATGGATAATGAGGGATAATTGCTGTAGGAAGCAGTGACTACGAAGTTTGACATGCTGTAGCTTTTTTCTTTTTCAGGAATTTATTAATACATTTGATTCTCGGGTCAAAGCAAATGCAGGATAATTACTACAGCAAAATCATCAATTTTTATATTAATGTGAAATTAATTCAACGGGAATGTATTCAATGTAGTTCAGAGATACAGTTCTAAGAATATAAATTAAAAATATCTTAAAATTTTACGATAACATATTTTATCTATATTATAGTCAAAAGCTTAATGCTCCATTAAATAAAGATATCAATAAGCAAAAATAACGAAACCCTAGTTCATTGGGAATATAGGAAAAGGCTATAAATAATAACCAAATGAAAAGATGGCTGTTTAACTCATATACACTAAATTTTAAAATAATCACAGATCATTAAACCTATAGTAGCATACCGTTTTGGTTTTTTTGTTTGTTTGTTTTTTTTTTTTTTTTTTTTTTTTTTGACAGGCAGAGTGGACAGTGAGAGAGAGACAGAGAGAAAGGTCTTCCTTTTCCATTGGTTCACCCCCCAAATGGCCGTTGTGGTCGGTGTGCTGCGGCCGGCACACTGCGCCGATCTGAAGCCAGGAGCCAGGTGCTTCCTCCTGGTCTCCCATGCAGGTGCAGGGCCCAAGAACCTGGGCCATCCTCCACTCCACTCCCAGGCTACAGCAGAGAGCTAGACTGGAAGAGGAGCAACCGGGACAGAATCCGGCACCCCAACCAGGACTAGAACCCAGGGTACCAGCGCTGCAGGCGGAGGATTAGCCAAGTGAGCTGTGGCGCCAGCCGCATATCATTCTTATCAATTGGTTTGACAAAAATATAAAACAAAGTTTGACAAAACTATATTTGCAGCAATATAGATACACATAGGTATCTCTTTCTTTTTTAGTTTTTAAAAAACTATATTTTATTTAAAAGGTAGAGAGAGAGAGAGAGAAAGAGAGAGAGAGAAGGAGAGACCACGGGGGTTCTGTCCACTGATTCAGTCCCCAAATACCCACAATAATCAGGGCTTGGCTAAGCTGAAGCCAACAGTTCAGAACTCAATTCAGGTCTCCCACATGGGTGGCAGGGACCCACGTACTTGATTCATCATTTATTGTCCTCCAGGTATTCATTATTAAGAACCTGGACCACAAGCTGATAAGCTGATATTTGAACCAAGCACTCCAATATGGCATGTGGGTGTCCCCAGCGATATTTCAATTGCTATGTCAACCATCTGCCTCAGTATTGGCATTTTTAATACTCACAACTATCCCTTGATATCAGTTCTTATGTGAGGCCATTGAGGTAGAGAAAGGAATACCTACCCAAGGTTACACAGTTTGATGGATTATCTATTTCAAATTGGGGTAGGTATGAAGTCATCAGGGAAACATCAATGTATCATTAATTTTCACTGTACTTCTCTAAACTCCCTCATGTAACTACTTAAAACATGAATTCTTCCCTTTGGCAATATTTTCCCGAGATCTCCTTTCCACTTTCCATACTGAGCTTTTACAGGAGCTCTATCACATTTTGCCAGGCATGGATGATGAAAGTAATGTGCCGTGCATAATTCTGGTTGCTTAAGGGGTTGACAGCTTTCAAGCAAAGCTCTTTTACCAAGGTAAAAAAGAGCAAACCATCTTGACCTAGTAAGAGACATCCAGCCATTGCCTAGGAATGTGAATATAAGTTCAGCTGGATGCTCTGTTCTAATATATCCCTTTTCAGACTCTCGCGACTTTTGATTGATAATGATATTTAAAATGTGACATAATAGTTGATAATATAGAACCTGGAGTCAGACTAACTTGTACTCCTGAATCTGTCACCTACTTTTAACCTTGAGAAATTTACTTAACTTTTCTCTTTCTAAAATATCTTATCTAAAGATGAAGAAATGAATGATGAATAAGTTATTCCAATGTTTCTTGCAATTGCAGTCAGAAATGTGATGATTGAGAAGCAAAACCAACAAAGAGTAGTCACTATTAATCTCCCATTTCAGAGCCCTGTACATCTCCTTCCACGTGAAGCTGGTATGAACCTTGTCGCTACAAATTCTGAGTGCCAATCCACCCACAGAGCAGGTTTCTATGTTCTTTGGAGCTGTTTAATGGTATTCGTGTCTTCCTCTGTTAACCTCTTCTTACAGCTCTGGTAAGTCTCTAGCAAAAAAGACAAGAAGTAAGCATTAGTGAGGCTGTGGAGCAAAGGAAAATCTCACATATTGTTGGTGTGATTGTAAATCAGTTCAGCCATTATGGAAAACAGTGTGGTGGTGCCTCAGAGAGTTAAAAATAAACCTAACATATGACACAGTGGAAAAAAAAGATATTCCATAAGTCAAAAAGACCTAAGACTTCTTGTTTGGGAAGGAAGACAGCCCTAGATGAATCATTTTCTGCACTGGGTTTAAACAATTTTGGTAAACAAATTATGCAAAATGCTTCTGAGATGCTAAATAAATTTTTCAGCAAAGTAAACCCAATGTAATATAAATATTCTTAAAAACTTCTTAGTTGGAGAAATTGAATTTTTTTTATTATTTTATAGGAGCAGTGTCTTTTCTAGGATCATTTTGCTATTTCACATTATATTCCATAGAAATTCACTTAAAAATGTTCTAGATGGAGCCTTAAGGACCCAACAGAACTCCACAGCTCACTAGAACAGTTTGTTCTAATCAACATCTTGTATCCACTTAGCTTGAGTGGAAGAAAAAGACAAGTTATTTGATTTTTACTCTATTGCTTCAATACAGAACTCATTAAAAAGCACGGATATTGTCTTGGTTTTCATAGCTCATATTTGTTTTAGAGGGTCACACAAACTAGAAATTAGTCATTTGGACTATGAAAATTTCAAGAGATTTTCAGTTATAACCTTTAGCATTCTCTTCTATATGATATCATGGACTTTTTTGGGTGTCATGAGTAGGAAAAACATTTTCAGTGCTTAACACAATCACACACAGATCTTCAGCATCAACTTATCTGAATGCTAAACCACTTTTGGTGAAGTAGTGAAAAGTGAAGGGCATAAGATACAAAGAACTGAGATTCTCAGAACATTTCCTCTGGAGATTTTCCTCCTCTTTTTTGTTAGAGGGTGTGTTTTATATATCAAAGGGTATTGAGTCTCTGAAGGGGAAAGTGATACAAAGCATGGGGAGTCAAGGGAAGTACCTGGAAAAAAAGAGGAAAGCAGAGACGTCACTCTTCCACCTCTAGCTTCCTCTTTTCCTCCTCTATGCCAGTGTACTGCTTGGCAGGAAAAGAGGTGGCTTAGTCTCATTTAAGACACCCAAGAATGGACCTGACCACTGCTAGATCAAAGTTTAGATCGATATTTATAGATTTTTCCTTCACTAATTCTTGTTGCTGAGGTGAGCTTAGAGTTTCTATTAGCTGAACAATAAGACAAGCATTTATTCCTTTTCTACAATATTATTTTATGAAATTTTAAGCAATAAAATGAAATATCCCAATGTGCATTTCCAAATTCTGCCATTAATTCACACTATCAACTACCTATCATTCTATCTTAGAGGTGTTACCCTTAGAATGTCAGAATATAATACCTACTAGTCACCCAACCATTTTTCTTTTTCTTCACATAAGGACCCAAAGGTGTATATTACCCACAGGGAATCTGAGAGTAGTCAGAGTGGGAGGGAGGCCAGCTCTCCTAGGTCATGCTAACAGAGCCAGAGCTTAAAAAGAGAATATGTAAGATGTTTGAATTCACAGAGGGGAACCAGTCTAACTTTTATGAGGGCAACGGAGCTGTCTACTGTTGGCAGGGGTGAAAAAGATAAGACAAAAAGCAGGAAAGTCTTCCTGAACTTCAAAACTTGTTTTGGTTTTTCTATTAAATTCATTTATCTTCTTAAGATAAAACTTTAATAAGAATTTTGCAGAAGAAATTTTAAAAATTGGATTTAAAAATACGATTCTAACTGTCCAGACATCTTAAATAAAACACTGCTTCCATTCTTTAGTTGGATTTGAATTAATAAGTCAATTTGTAAAAAGTTAAAAGTTCTCAGTAAGTAATCATATCTTGTGTATGGAGTTGTGATAGTGATGCTTGTGAATAGTTCATTATAGTGACGTTTGCCTTGTTTGCAATTACACGTGTATCACTGCTACACATATGAGTGCTCATTGACTTGGGAATCTGCCAATTGAGAGTGGCCAATGCCTGTACACATGGCGTAGTAAAGACCAGCATAGGACACAGTGATTGCTTCAATAGTATGACCAAGAATGTATCATCATTGCAGAGTTAGAATGGACTAACATAGGATAGCAATGATAATTTCAGTGATAACAAAACTGGGTTCACTTATTCGCCAGAAGAAGAAACAAAATCCACAGAAGATATTTCCTAGGTTGCTTAGTGGGTTGCTTAGTTAGGATGCTTCATGTGTTGGAAAATGATTGGAAGTTTGCATTCTGTTAAGGAAGGGTAGGTCCTATAATCTAGACAGAAGACTACTCATGACTGAGTAAGTCAGTCATATTGCACACTAGGTATTCCCTAATGGTCCAGGAAGTATAATGACATATTGGGTTATTCAAAGTTCTTGACCATTTAACAGCTTTGGCTGGTA